ATAGTGACCCTGTATAGGGTTTCCAAGGAGCAGCTAGTGAATTTGAACCACCGACCTTATGGTCCAGTGCATTATCTCACAGTGCTACATCAGGACTCCTGGGACTCCTCTGTTGTTGTTATTAAGTGCCGTCAAGTCAGTTCTGAATCATAGTGACCCTGTATAGGATTTCCTGGAAGCAGCTGGTAAATTTGCACTGCCGACCTTGTGGTTCAAACCGACTTTGCAGTCCAGTGCATTAACCCACCGTGCCACCCCCAGGATGCCTGGACTCTTCTAGCAGGTGATTACTGAGAGAATTGTCTTCCAGTTCACTAATTTGGCTTTCCATTGACTCAGTTGTACTTCTTTGCCCTTGTAATGTTTTGTCCATATCTGAAGTCTTAGTCATTTATTTTACCAATTTGTTCTTGTAGTGTTTTCTTGAATTCTTCTTAAGTTTTGTCCTTGTTTCCTTGATTTCACCTGCAGCTTTCTCAGTTATTCTCTCAGTCAATTGATGGTGCCTATTGTTGTTGTTGTTAAGTACTGTGGGACTCAGCGACCCTGTACAGGGTTTCCGAGGCAGCAAATCTTTACGGGAGCAGAAAGTCTCATCTTTCTTCCGTGGAACAGCTGGTAGTTTCAAACTGCCAATCTTGAGGTTAGCAGCCCGATTCGTAACCACTACGCTACCAGAGCTCCTTTGAAGGTGTCTGCATATAGGTAAATAAATTCCTTATTAGGTGGTTCCTATACCATTTCTGTTGTCATATTTTGTGACTCTGTATTTGGGTCACTTATGTAAGGCACTCTGTCTTACTTCTTCGTATAAGCTGAAATTGTCTTGCCTCAGACATTGTGGTGTCATTTGTTGTATTTATGTTTAATCAATACTCTTTTGGTATGTTCTCACATGTCTCCTGATGGATGTGATAGAAACTGGAATTGTGAGCACAGTTCTCTGCTTGCTATTGTGTAGCATAGTTCAGGGTGGGTTCATGTACTTCCAGACACAAGGATGATATGTCCAGTACCCAACTGACCCCAGGCAGAAAAGAGGCTGTGTAGGAGAGGATGCCACTGACCACTGGGCTGAAGAGGGCAACTACTGACCTTGCCCCTTGTTACAAGGAGGGCCTGGCGAACAAGGGAGAACAGTATCCCCCTTGCTGCCTACCTCCATCTACATCCTGTGCCTCTAGTCACTATATTGGTCCAAACAAAACAAACCCACTGTTATTGATTCCTCTATAGGATTTCTGAGGCTCTAAATCTTTATGGGAGCAGAAAGCTTCATCTTACTTCATGGAATGAGTGGCTGGTGGGTTTGAACAGCTGACTTAAGCTCAAGTGGCTCAAGCCAGCTAATAGTCTGTCCATTTTTCTCTTCTGTTGATGCTCCTGTTTGGGTTCCTCTTCCAGTGGGCATACAGTGTGCCTCTCTCTGATCCTCTGAAGCTCAGGGTTCTAGGATCACCATCCTTATGTTTTCCTTGGTGTCCTGTGCCTTTGTTGCAGAGGGTCTGCTCAGCACATTTTCCTTCTCCACCATCTTGCCCTGGAAGTTCCTATGCCCATTTTAAAAATTGGGTTGCTTGTCTTTTTGTTGTTGAGCTGTAGGAGTTCTTTTCATATTCTGGGCATTAAACTCCTATCAGATATATATTTCCAAAATATGTTCTCCTATTCTGTCGGCTGTATCCTTTAATTTTAAGTTTTTTATTTTGATGAAGTCCAATTTATCTGTATTGCTGTATTTTTTCTGTATTGCTCTGCTTTTTGGTGTCATTTAAGAAAACCCATGATCAAAAACAAAGTCTTGAAGCTTTTCCCTCTTTTCTTCTTGGAAATTATTGCATTATTTTAGTTCTTACAGTTTTTAGTTAATTTTCATATGTGGTGTGGATTATGGCAGGAGCCCTAGTGGCTCAGTGGTTTAAGTGATTGCTAACCAAAAGCTTGTTGGTTCAAACCCACCAGCCATTCTGCTCTGCAAGAGAAAGATGTGGCAATCTCCTTCTGTAAAGATTTCAACCCTGAAAACCCTATGGGGCAATTCTACTCTGTCCTAGAGGGTTGTTCTAAGTTGAAATCACCTCATTGGTGGGGGTTTAGGTGAGAGGTAGGCACAGCACCATTCTTTTTCATGTAGAGATGCCACTGACACCATTTGTTGAAGAGACTGTTTCTTTCCTTCTCAAAAAATCAGTATAACATCAGCCAGGGCTTCAGATGGATTCAGCCCACCCAGACATGGCCTACAAAGTGACACCAGAACAGATACAAATTTTTAAAATGTGGGTGAACTAGAAGAGGAAAAATTATGGGTCAAAGCCCTATTAGAAATCTCTCTCAGAAAACAAGGGCAGCAGTGAACGGTTCAAAGATGGCAACTCTCTGTGCAGCCTTGAATATGTCACTCTTCACAATCTTGGCAACAATCCAGCGCTATGCACCAGGTTCCTGAAATGGCTTGCTGCACCTTTTTAAATTTAGGTCTGCTTCATCAGCCAGGACTGACCAGGGCATGAACCACATTTTGGTTTCTACAATTCTGATATACAAGATATATGCTTTTGTACTATAAAGTAGTGTGTTTTTCAAAGTGTATGGTTTGTTGAATGTAAAGCTGGTGATCTTCTATATAAAGTAGTGTGTTTTTCTGTGTAATATCTTTCTTTTTCAACTTATTCATGAAAGGTGAGTGTAAGTATACTCATCTCAGTTTGGGAAAAAGAAAAGGCATAATTATAACTTATAACTATGTGGTGGCTTGTTTTTGATGGGTAAATGAGTTTGAATAGTGGGACCAGCAATGGTTTAAACAAAATAAAGTGGTAGTGATGGATTCTGTTTATTAGAAACTGCTCTGGCTATAGTGTGGGACTAGGTGAGGAGAGAATCTAGAGAAGGGACCATGAGAATCTGTACCAAGATTGCAACCTTTCCTGGCCATATTGCATATAGAAGGTGAGGGGAGACAAATGACTCCAGAGAAGGCTTTAATTGAAAGAACAGGAGAGAACAAGACATGATTGTTCTCAACATGAAGTTTTGGTTCGGATTCACAGCGACCTATGCACAATAGGAGACACTGCCCTCCCTGTCTTGCGTCATCCTCACAATCATTGTTATGCTTGAACTCATTGCTGCTGCAACTGTGCCTGTCCATCTCATTGGGTGTCTTCATTTTCGCTGACCCTCCACTTTATCAAGCATGATGTCCTTCTCCATGGACTCATGGTAATATATCCAAAGTATGACAGGTCTCGCTATCCTGACTTCTAAGGAGCATTCTAGTTCTGCTTCTTCCAGCACAGAATTGTTTGTTCTTCTGGCAGTCCATGGTACTTTTAATACTCTTTTTCAACACCATAACTCAAATTCATCAATTCGTCTACGGTTTTCCTTATTCATTGTCCAACTTTCACATGCATATGAGGCTACTGAAAATACCGTGGCTTGGGTCAGGTGCACCTTCATCTTCAAACTGACATCTTTGCTCTCGAACACTTTAAAGAGGTCTTGTGTGGCAGATTTGCCTAATGCAGTATGTTGTTTGATTTCTTGACTGTTTCTTTCATGAGTATTGATGGTGGATCTAAGCAAATGAAGTGTTTGACAACTCCATGTATCATGATGTTATTTATTGGTCCAGTGGTGAGGATTTTTGTTTTCTTTACATTGAAGTGCAACCTATAGCAAAGGCTGTGGTCTTTGATCTTCATCAGTAAGTATATTAAGTCCTCTTTGCTTTCAACAAGCAGGGTTGTATCATTTGCATGTTGCAGAATGTTAATGAGTTTTCCTCCATTTCTGACACACTTCATATGCTCATCTTCTAGGATTATTTGCTTAGCATATAGATTTAATAAGTACAGTGAAAGACTACGATCCTGGCATACATTTTTCCTGATTTTTAAACCATTCAGTGCCCCCTTGTTCTGTTCGAATGACTGCTTTTTGGTCTATATATAGGTGTAAGAAGCTCTGGTAGCGTAGTGGTTACGAATCGGGCTGCGAACCTTAAGGTCAGCGGTTCGAAACTACCAGCTGCTCCGCGGGAGAAAGATGAGGCTTTCTACTCCCGTAAAGATTTACACCCTCGGAAACCCTGTACAGGGTCGCTATGGGTCGGAACCGACTCGACGGCACTTAACAACAACAACAACAACATATAGGTGTACAATGAAGTGTTCTGGAATACCCATTCTTCACAGTGTTATTCATGGCTTGTCAGGATCCACACAGAAATAATTCATACTTATAAGAGTATGTGTATCTTACACACAAATCTTTCTGAAAAATAATTGTCAGTATCCATGTATCCCCTTTTAAAAAATAGACATCATCATCCCCAGATGTTGATTGAGTTCTTTAACATGATTAAAGAAATTTAAAATTAGAAGCTACTGTTAGTAAGTACTCATGTTAAAAGATGTTTCGTCTGTGGTTTATACATGAAACTGAAAAATGTGTTTTAACCAAAAAAGAGGAGGGGAGTTAATTATTAGCTCTGCAGTTAGCTGGCTTTGCTTTCTTTTAATTTGGCAAGCCTTTTTTTGGTGTTTATACCTGGAGGAGTGCCCTGCACTATCTTTATGCAAGATCAGTGGGAGGTCCCTGTGTTTCTCTTCTGTCTGCTCTCTGTGGAAGTGGACAATATGTTTGCCATAGATTAGACACATGAATGAGAGGTGAGATGTCTTTTGGTGTGTTGGGCAGCTATGGGACTGAGTTGGAGATTTAAAAAATAAATTCACATGTCTCTGTAGAAACAAAAGATTCCTGTAAAACAGATATCAAGAGGTTTTTGAATGCACTTGATATGTCAATTGAAAAGGCATATTCAGTCTATGTTTACAATACAGACTACAGAAAGTACACCAGTGTGACAGAACTGAGAATATAAAATGAGAACAAACTCATAGTAGAGGGGAATGATTTATTGAACATTTGAGAAATATTGATGTAAAGTAAGATACTTCTCTTACAAATGATTTTCTTGCTTGCTTCAGGTACCCAAGCCCCCTCATGGCAACTGTGTCAGCACCCAACCTGCCTACCACAGAAGAAAATCTTGAATACGTGCGGACTCTCTATGATTTTCCTGGGAATGATGCCGAAGACCTGCCCTTTAAAAAGGGTGAGATCCTCGTGATCATCGAGAAGCCTGAAGAACAGTGGTGGAGTGCCCGGAACAAGGATGGCCGAGTTGGGATGATCCCTGTTCCTTATGTGGAAAAGTTGGTGCGATCCTCCCCACATGGAAAGCATGGAAACCGAAATTCTAACAGTTATGGGATCCCAGAACCTGCTCATGCCTATGCTCAACCTCAGACCACAACGCCTCTTCCCGCCGTTTCCAGTTCTCCTGGAGCAGCCATCAATCCTTTGCCATCCACACAGAATGGACCTGTCTTTGCGAAAGCAATCCAGAAAAGAGTGCCCTGTGCTTATGACAAGACTGCCTTGGCATTAGAGGTAAAATTGATTTAGTTAATATTTTATTTTTTAGTTTAAGTTTAGTTTCTACCAAAGGTTAAATTGAATTAATGAGAGTAAGAGAACCAGGTACCCATCTTGGAGTTATCCAGAGAATGGGATTTTTAGTTCTTCCATCAGCAGTGCTGTAAGCAAGCTAGTACTGCTCATTTTAGGTTATAATCAGGAGTAAAAGAACTGAGAGAAGCTGTCTGTTCAGTCTCATGTAATTTGGGCATGTTGTCTGGAAGGACTAGTCCCTGGAGAAGGACATCATGCTTGGTAAAGTTAGAGGGTCAGTGAAAGGGAGGAAGACCCTTCGCCAGATGAATGACATGGGCTTTCCTGTTTGTCTTTTCCAAACTCTCAGCCTGCACTCCTTTTTCTTCCTGAAGCATCATAAAGTTTGTCTCACATAGTCGATTTTCTTTCCATCAAGAAATGAAGATGGATAGAGTCCTGGTGTTGCGCTGTGGGTTAATGCGCCACACTGCAAAGCCATTTGAACTGCAAGGTCGGCGGTTCAAGCTCACCAGTCACTCCTCGGAAACCTTATACAGGGTTGCTATAGGTCGGAACCAACTTGACGGCACTTAACAACAACAAAGGTATAGGTTCTCAGTGTGCTGTGACGTGATTTGCACACAGCCAGTCACCTTGCACAGGAACCAAGGTTTCTCCGTCAAGTCAGCCATGATCATCTCACTTCTTGAGGTGAGCAAGAGAGAAAAATGGCTCAACACAGACCTGTTTAAAACTCTCTTCACTTGCAGGGATTCCCAGTAGGTAATCTGATTTTGTGAAGGAATGAAAAAAAAGAAAAGCTTACCAAGTATTTTCAAGGAATAAAGCTCACCTAAGCCATCATTGTTCTATGTGATACTCTCAAGGGGCTTCGTTACTGGCACATTTTGTCCTACTTGTCTCACGGTTTCTCATTTTAATTATAATTCTTTTCATGGTAGCCTTCTTACAGTCCCAAGAGAAAGAGTTGTTTTTAACATGAGACAGGCACTGTTAATCCTGATAGTTTCAGAAGATAATACATTCATGTTGTGGTTGTTAAGTGCTGTTAAGCGGGTTCCAACCCATAGCAACTCTGTATAGGGTTTTTCAAGGAGCAGTTGGTGAGCTTGAATCGCTGACCTTTCGGTTCAAACCAACTTTGCAGTCCAGTACATTAACTCACAGTGCCACACCAGGACTCCCAATATATTCTAAGAAATGGGTTATTTGCTTACTCTGTAGTCCAAAGTTCATCTGCATACACAATGAAAAAGACCAGTGAATGGAATTTAAGCCCAGCTCTACTTCTTGGGTCCGTTTACTCATTCTGTGAAGTTACACTTTTTCAAAGCCTCTGATGAGGTTCAGACAGCTTGGTTAGCTTCATGATGAGGCTCAGGTGTAGAGCCCTCTGGCGTCTAAGAGAACTGTGTAATAGCCTAGTAACTGGCCTCAATTAGGCATGCCCCCTTTACAGAAATGAATTGTTCTCTCTATAACCCTTTGTGTACACTCCAGGGGCCACCTAACAGATGGAAGTTTTTCAGGTACACATGGTAGAGTCCTAAGGCAGAAGTGGGATTTTAAGTCCAGCTCACATGACAACTCTGTTCCCAGAATCCAAACTGGTAGCCTCAGGATGCTCACCTTAGCTCTTAATCTGGTGGCCCAACCACTGTTACTTGACACATGCAAGTCATACCAACTCTCTTCAACTCTATTCTAGCTCCCCACCCCTGAACTGAGGTGGCAGATGTCAGCAGAAGGCTATGTGTTTAAATGCTGATTTCCCATTCTAGGTCCTGAAAAATAACTTGAGCTCCATTTATTCATCCCTCCCTCTTGAGACCACTAGCATTTTTACTGTCTCTATAGTTTTGCCTTTATTATACAGTCCTGTAGTCAAAATCATACTGTATGTAGTTCTTTCAGACTGACTTCATTCATTTAGCAATATTCAGTTAAGGTCCGCTAAGTGTTTTTGTAGTGTCATAACTTAAAAAAATTTTAATTATAGAATATTATTCCATTGTGTGGAAGTAGTTTGTTGATGCATCCTCTTGTTGAAATACATCTTGGTTGCTTCAGACATTGGGCAATTAGGAAGAAAGCTGTAAACATTTGTATGCAGGTTTTTGTGCACATATAATCTTCTTGGAGTACTGAACATTATACTTACAGCATACTTAGATGCTGTAGGATAAACACTGGACTGCTAACCACAAGGTTGGCAGTTCAAACCCACCAGCTGCACCTTGGAAACCCTATACAGGGTCGCTATGAGTTGGAACCAACTCGATAGCACTTAACAACAATAATGTTTTCAACTCATTTGTGTAAATGTCTAGGAGCACAATTGCTGGATCATATGTTAATACTATACTTAATTTTGTAAGAAACTGCCGGACAAAGTTACTGTACTATTTTGTGTTTCCACCAGAATGAGTGCGCCTGTCATGCTGCTTCCTTAACAGCATTTGGTGTTGCCTTTGTTTTAGATCTCAGCATTCTAATAGGTTTATGGAGTCCCTTGAATGGCACAGAAAGGTTAGTGCCTCAGATACACCCAAAGGTACCTCAGAAGACAGGGCTAGCAACCTAGTTCTGAAAGTCCATAGGCATTTGAATATCTTATGGCACACATAGGGTCACTCTGAGTTGTAATTGATTCATGGCAGCTGGTTTTTTGTGTAGTGGAGTCCTGGTGTATCACTACAAGGTTTGCAGTTCAAACCCACCAGTTGCTCCTTGGGTCGATATTAGTCAGGACTGACTCAATGGCACTTTGCAACAGTGTTATTTCACTGCTATTTTATTTTGTATTTTTATAATGAATTAGTGGATAAAAGCTTCACAGTGGGCTATCCAAAGCTTTATAAAAGTGACAATGTTAGTATGTTAAAATGCAGCATCTATTTATATTAAATTCTTTTTTTTTTTTTTTCATCATAAAATGTGGTTTTTATTTCACCCCTGATTCAAACAAAGGGTAAGCAAGTCTTGAGATAATTGGGAAAAATTGTACACTGGTCTCTAATAATATTAAGTAATAATTAAAACAAAAAAATTTATTGTGAATTGAGTGGAGCTTTACAGAACAGATCATCAGTCCTACATTCAGCATATCATACACTTTGTGTTATTACAATTATTACAATCCCTTTCATGTAAAAGTTAACAGTATTTATTCACTTTAACTCTTGCATTCCTCGCTGTGTCTTCCCTAACTTTCAGCTTTCCTCTGCCAACCTCCTTGTTGTCTTCCCCTCTTCCCCATCATCTAAGTTAACTTGTGTTTTCCTCTAGTCCATGAATAAGTTTCCCTTCCCTCCCACCCCTGGTAATCATCATAGATTGTTTCTTTTAGCAAGAAAACTTTTTCTTAACTTTTTACAGCAGGGGTCTCATACAATATTTGTCCTTTTGTGACTGGCTAATTTCACTCAGCATATTGTCCTCCAGATTCATCTATGTTATGAGGTGTTTCCCAGATTTATTATCATTCTTCAACATTGTATAGTATTCTATTGTGTGTATATACCAGAGTTTGTTTAGCCATTCATTCTTCTGTTTATGAACTTTTAGGCTATCTCCATCCTTTTGCTACTGTGAATAGCGCTGCAGTGAACATGGGTATGCCTATATCTTACCTGTTCGTGCCCCGGCTCCCATTTCTTGTATGCCAAATAGAGGGCTTGCTGGGTGACATGCTATTTCTATTTCAACTTTTTGAGGAAGCACCATGCAGTGGGTGCACCTTTTATAGTCCTACCAGCAGTGTAGGAGGAGGGTCCTAGTCTCTCAACACCCTAGCTAGCATTTGCTGCTTTCTGGTGTTTCTAAACTTTGTTAATGCTGATATAAGATGGTAATCTTATTGTTGTTTTGACTTGTATCTCTTTAATGGTTAATGGCATTTTTGTGTGTGGGTGAGTTGAGTGATAGTGATGGGAGAACATCGGCTTTGCACTATTGTTTCATCATTCAGCAATATTTGCTTCTATTCCCTCTGTGTTGTTTTGGTTTTTTTGGAGGGGGGTGTACACAAAACCACTCAGGAATATATATTAATTTAAGCAACCAAAGGGCACATTCTGCAAGTGTGCTTCCTGGCTGCCAGCACTCAGTCTTTGCTTGAGTGGAGTCCTCAGCTTCTTTGTCTCTCTCTGGTTAGCTTATTGACCGCCTGAATGTCTGTCCTCTTTAGTGAATGTTTATTTCCTTTGCCCATTTTAAAACTGGATTCTTTGTTGTTGTTTTATTGAGGTGTTGAAGTGTTCTATAAATTTTAGAGATTAATTATGTTTGATAGTGTTTTTATGCCATGTATCCAGACACCTATTTTTTTCATTGATATTCTTGATTGTTCTAAGTTTTACATTTAGGTCTTTAATTCACATTGAGTTTGTTTTTGTATATAGTGTGAGATACCTGTCCTGTTTCATTCTTCTGCAAATGGACTTCCAGTTTTGCCAGTACCAATTGTTTAAAGATTATCTCTTCCCCGTTTACTGTGTTTTGACCTTATGTGGAAGATCAGCTGACCATAGGTAGTTGGATTTACTTCTGGATTCTCAATTCTGTTCTGTTGATCTTTGTGCCTTTTGTTGTATAGTATCAGGATGTTTTGACAACTGTGACTGTGTAGTAAGTTTTAAGATCTGGAAATTAGAGGCCTCCTACTTTGTTCTTTTTTAATAATGCTTTGCTTATTTAGGGTTTCTTTCCTTTCCATATAAAGTTAGTGGTTAGTTTTTCCATCTCTTTAATGAATAATTTGGGATCTGGATTGGGATTGCCTTGTATAGTATTTCATAAGATAAATATTTTTAGTGTTTAGTCTTCCTGTTCATGTGTCCATGAGGGGAGTTTCCCGTGGATTGGCTCACATAACTTTTTATCTTACAAGAGATAAAAAGGAAGAAAGGGGGCAGAGAGCAGAGTGACCTACTATACCAAAAATGGTATAGTCTTCATTTTTCTAGGTCTCTTGT